GGGGGAAAAAACATGCAAATGAGGGAAACAGTTTATTTACAGAGTGTTTTTTTTAGATTAAACAGACCAGAAATTAAATATCAGTTCAGATACTGGCTACAAACTCAGCTGGTCAGGTACTGCAAACAGAACCCAGTTGAGGTAAATGGTTTTCAATTACAAATTAACATCAGATGCTGTTCTCTGGGGGCAAAAAAAAAAAAAGCGCAATTCCAGATAACAACTGAGAGTAAGCAGGGCTATGACTGTCCAAAATTAGGCTGACATGATCTAATTCAACTTCACTGGGAGTTAAGACTGGGCCATGAAATGGCCTCAAGTTACTCAGGGGAGGTGTAGATTGGGTATCTGGAAAAACGTCTTCACTGAAAGCGTTGTCAGGTACTGGAACAGGCTGCCTAGGGAAGTGGTTAAGTTGCCATCACCAGAGGTATTTAAAAGATGTGTAGATGTGGCACACTTAGGGACACAACTTAGTGGCAGTGTTAAGTTTATGGTTGAACTCAATGATCTTCAAGGTCTTCTCCAACCTAAGTATTTCAGTGATTCTATATTCCCACAGTAACACGAGTCTAACTGCTGCCTCTTAAAAAGCAGTAGTTAAATGAAAACTATCTATTAATACATTAATAAACCTGATCTAGGAATATACATTATTTTTTTTAATGGTATATTTTCTCAAAGTTTCTACAGAATTCTGTAAGCACTTAAATGCAGTTGTTTATGTGTTTTATATATTAGCAAGAACATTGGCAAAGAAAGGTCAGAAAAGTATCATCCTGGAAAGATAAAACCATCTATCAGTGTTTTAGAATAATGAAATATCAACTTGCTTCACTGTGTGAGATAGTTTCTTTATATTCAAATCTCAGTGCACTTATTTAATATATGTTTCTATATCCTTCATAAATTGCAGCCAACATTCTTGCTATAAGAAAACCCTACATCATTTCAACAATATGTACCAGTAACGCTCAACTGTTGCTGCCAGGGATTTTTTCTATGTGTATCATGAAAAAATATATTCTTAACACTCAATTACTGTAAGATTAATTTATTTGCAGCCTTGAGGAAAAAATAATAAAATTGCTTTGTTTTCATCTTGATGTTATTTTAACACTAATGTTTCATTACAACAATGTATCTATGACCAATGAGGGAGATCATTTACTTCTTTAGCTACTTAAATTCTATTTAAACAGCCATTATGAATGATTGTAGAACTAATTAATTTGTCTTCAAAAGCATCTCAAAATTTAGGAAGCATTCTGCAGATATGAGAGGCAGATGTTTAACAAGTCTCAAAATAAATATCTGAAAAAGCCAATACAGTAAACACACATCTCAAAACATCTACCCAGGAAGCCATAGCTTGTCCTTTTTAGGTTGGGTCAAGAGGTATGTAACACATACCAGCTGAAGTTGAGATGGACTATTTTTTTTAGTCGTCTTTTTTTTTTTTGGTGCAAATACAAGATAGAAGAATAATGAGTTTACCCACAAGTCATTTTGCAAAACATGAGAAAGTGTATTTTTCCCAAAAAGCACAAGCTTAGGTTGAGGATGAGAGGTTGTTCTTGAACTGCTGCATTTCAGTATCTCCAAATTCCATGGGCAAATCTTCAGATCTGAAATAACACCATTCTCCAACCTCTACTTCTCCTGCCATGAGGAAACAGCTATCTGAACTTTTGCATTTTTAACACCTCCAGACTGTGGGCTCTAGACTACACCCCATCCTACAGCATTTGCAAAATTCTACCTGGAGGGACTAGCAACAAACAACTACTCAAATCTGCCTAGATTATCTTTAAGATGGAATAGAAGAATACGACTGCTCATATGTACAATTGTTTTAAATTACCAGCTGCACATTAAAAAGCAGTAAGGATTAAAATTAAGACTTCGAGAACCTGTTTGTCTTTAATTTTATTTTTCATTTAAAAAAAAAAAATTGTTACAAGATAGGATGGATTTCTTGTATTTATGCCCTGACCAAATATGAACATTAAAAAAATTATAAATAAAATTAATTCTACACAGATACAGTAGCGAGATAAACATGTTTTGACATCCTAACAGACATCAATTACATAAAAATTAAGTGTAATGTTTAGGAGAAGAAATGCTGTATTTTGTGACAACAATAATGTGTTACATCTAAATGTATTAAGATTTTAATTAACTTCTTTCAGACTTTTTGAATCATTAACAGTCTAGCTATATTTTTAAATACACCACTGTTAGTTGTCCTACAAAAAATTGCAGGCCAAAGATGGTATAATTTTTTATTCCTCCATTATTTTTCTTGATGGATTTAGCTCAAGAGCTTAACACTATTCTACTGTTTCCAAAGATCCTTCATGTAGCTGCAAGGAAACACTTCTTTTAAAAGAACACCTAAAATTTTTCTTAATAATGAAGTTTTAAATTTACTAGGTTCATCAGATTCTGTCAGTTTTTAAACTATAGCTGCATTTCTATTTGTTATTCCAGGAACTTTTTATTCTGAGTGACTTTACCGTAAATAAGTATAAAAACATTTACAAATACTTATTTAATTGTTGGCTGAATTCATCAGCCTCCACATAATTAACCATGCACTAGTCATATCTGCTCTGAAGCTTATAAGATCACAAATCCAGTGCTAGGAGGCCACATACCTCTGTCATTCTGACAGAACCTCTGAGGTTTCTGTCATTCAAGAACTATTCCAAGTATAACATTTTTCATGCTTTATCGAAAATATGTATGAAATAGGACTCTTGCAGTTCACAGGCTATACTGAAATTACCTTCTGCAGAAGATTTCCCATATGAACATCACCTGTTCACTTTAATACTCTAAAAGATACAGAGATACAGATTGCCACAGCCTGTACAGCTAAGCTTACTAATATCCTTAAAGCATTTTGACAACTTCAATACAAAGGCTCAAGAGTGCCCAAGTAAGGTATGTAGTAGGTCATTCAAAGCTTGCCAAAAAATAAAATCTGAACTTCACCAAATTTTGTCCTCAATGTTGAGGTGACAAAACTAAATCTTACAGCAGCAAAATGGGTTCTAGGAGTGAAGAGGGCTGAGGAAGGGACCGCGGAGACTCCAGCACCTGGAATAGGGGTCTGTAATGTTGCAGAGATCTGTGTGCCACAGTGTCCCTTTATTTACCCTTCCAGCTTCCAAGAACACCCTTTACCCTCAATGGTGCTGTAGATTTACACTGCCAGGGGAAGCCCAGCTCTGTTGCAGGTACCAGCAGTAGAGCTATACAAAAGAACACCCAAATGAGGCTGTCCTTGCTGCTGGAATGGCCAATCTACATCTCTTAACCTAGTCAAAGCAGACAGACAACTGTGCTAAGCAGCAACCTACTTTGCTTATGCCTAAAGCCAAATTTGCATGTTATGAAAATGGAAGGTGACACAGTAACACAAAACAGTTTGAGTCAATAGAAATGTATGTTGCAGCACTAAATTACAGCTGGGTAAATTAAGGACTGTACTACAAATTTAATTTTTTTCTAGTCTCAATTTACAAGTCAAGCTAGATCTTTCAATATTAAAAATTCCACTTTAAACTATTTGAAGATCTTATCAACCAATAATTGAATTAACTCAGCTTGTCATTTCTACCTTTTGAGAAGCACAAGTCATTTTGTAGGAACATTGCCTTCCTATTTTGGGGGGACAGAAAAGGACAAGGAATTATCTTTTTTCCCCCTCCTGTCTAAATCCCCTGCACAGCACTAACTCCAGTCAGATGACTATTACCAGTCAAGTAGAGTTTGTTCTGCATTGCATAGTGCTGAGCTCAGACACTGATTCCAAATGGTGGTTTACAGGTTATACAAATAGTATTATCAGGCAAAAGGCACCTTGTCTTATCTACTCTCTACCCACTTATACCATATGCAGGGAAAGTGGGGGTTTTTTAGCATGCCAAGCCATCATTTTGACCAAATTTGCTTAGAAAAGACGCCATCTGACAGTTACTTTTGAAAGCATCAGTATCTTCACTATCTTAGTGTTTACGTAAAATAATATCATTCTTAAACACAAACTGTTGTTTTTGCATTCTATAGATGTAAATGGTACTCAATTAAAGACATCTTCATTTCACAAAACATTTTTCACTAATAAAGAACTCTTGACATACAGGAAAAGTTGTACTGCCATTTACACATCTGCCTCTGTTCAATTTCTCTTTCACAATTCTTATTTAGAAAAGACTATCCAGATGTTTCTATTAGGCCACTAACTCAGCTTCTTCACAGCTTCTCAATTCTTGGAGCACAGCATACCAGTGTGTCAGCTAGCCGTGATCTGGCTTCTGTAACAGGAGGTTAAAGGGCGTGATCCCTTGATTTGGGTCCAGACACTATGTTGATTTTATAATAAATAATGTAACAGATAATCTAATCTGGAAGCAAAACACATTGCTCAAACTACTCTTTGGATGTTATGCCAAAGTTAATTTCTACCAGAGGTACGCAAAAGGAGGAAGTCAGATTTCAAAGCACTCTAAGACTGTTGGAGAGAATTTCAATAGCCTGATATAAGACCAGTTCTACTGCTCAAAACCATCTGTGAACCATAACTGAACAGACAAGCCAGACTTTTCAAATGTGCCATAATGTTAATGAACTTACTGGCCTCTTTTTAACAGAAGACTGATTCCTTCTGAATATCCCCACAGGCTTCTGAAGTTTCACATCCAAATACCAAAGAACCCAAGATTAGAGACAATTTTGGAAAATGTAATCTACATTCAGCAGTTGCCTATACAAACAATGATCTTTTAAGCATTCAACTCCTTATTTGCAGAGCACTGTGGAATATGTAACTGATAAATTTCATACGGACAAGCTCTGTTTTGTTTGCTATTTCTGTGGCATCTAACGAGAAAGGTCACAGGTTTTGCATTTTACAGTACTATGAAAGAAGGATCTTTCTCTAAATTATTTAAACCATGAAATGACACAGGTGGAAACATCTGACTTACTGTAAGGTGTTGTATCAGTAGGGTCAGGAGGTGGAAAATTTTCTGTGAAGTTGACATTACACAAGTCTGTACTACAGCAACAGAAGCGGTATGTTCCATTCTGAATCAAGGAAGGGGTGGTTGTAACTATACACTCATCAAAGTGACACTCTTGTGGGTCTCCTATGTGAGACCAGCAACCTGTAAAAAGAAGCAAATTAAATAATTATTTTTAAAAGCAGCATAAAATTAATTCATTAATTCTATTGCATGGATAATTAAACACACCTATCTGAATTCCTGAGCCTTCTAAGCAGATGCAAACTATTTCTCATTTCTCTGATACTACAGTCACTTTTATGACCCACAGTTCAGATGAAATGGCAACGTAGTCCTCTCCTTAGAGCTAGACTACATGACTGCATCTATAGGTTGGTGCTTGTTGCATTATTTTTAAAAATTATGTCCTTCCTTATTGTCAACATCACTAGACTCTCTTACAGGATCACAATTTATTTCTTGGTTAATGCAGGCCCTTCCTCCCTGCAGCAACTATTCCTTCTCCAGTGCCAACAATGGCATAAATGTCATTTATGCACAAATGCCTGGAAGTGAAACAAGCAGTGTGGGGGCACAGGTGAGCAGCCAGACTGCTTCTTTGAGCAGATTACCAGATCAAAGATGAATCAACACTGAGTACAACTGCACATAATGTCTGTAAACATCAGTTTTCACTCAGCTTTACACTACATTAATTTTTACACAAGTAACCAAGGGCAGAGTTCCTGAGAACAGTAATCAAAACATGTCTTCAGCAACTGAAAGACCCTTCACCGTTCCCTACCATCACTCTCCCTCCAGAAGAGCAGCAAATTGACAGCCAGTGATACGCGACAGTTTTGTGCTATTGCTGCAGTTTCTTTAGTAAACATTCTATATAATACAGATATACATTTTTACTTAATGAGACACATTTTTACATTTATTACATTAATACATAAACTGAGATATACTCATGACAGCAGTCTTCCTCTGGACATCCTAAGTAACAAACAATTAGAGGGTTTTTTTTTCCTTGAACTGCACATTAATCTCTTTGGCCTCTTTTAGAAGTCCTTTATTTCAAACAACTTTTCTGTTCATATTTTAAATTGCTAAATGGGAACTTTAAAATTATGCATTTGTACAATGAACAAACAAAATGTCTAGTTTTGCAGCTTCACACCTTTGTAGTAGCTGGCTAGATCACAAAGCAGTGAAAAGGTCAACAAAACAACTGCAGTTCCACTGAGATGTTACATACCTTGTTTTACAAGATGTATGTCTCCTTCTCTTGTTTTTTCCCAAAGTCCGTAGCAGGTACTACCTTTCATGCACAAAATTGTGCCATTCTCCTGGGAAATTCGGCTCTCACTGATTCCATGGTCCTGCTGATACGGGTCCTTGAATGCACACAGGCGCTCCTCACTCTGTGCAGCTTTAGACAAAGAAGGAAAATATTTTTTGTCAGTGATTTTATGTATAAACTATTAACTTTATGTATTATTAAGGTCTTCTGGAAGCATACATTCAAAACTCTCCTGAATCACATGTATGCATTCTTTAAACTGTACGCCAACGGTCAGAAATAAAAATGACGTCTATCCCAAAATTACTTCTGTAAAGAGGACCAAAAAAACCTCAGAATATGTTTCAAAATGAATGTGCAAATGTTTGAAGTTGACAGGTGGAGAATAAAAATTTCATTGCATAGTCTGCATCATCTGCATCATTTATCCTTAAAAGTTGTGCAACTGTTCGCTGTTTTCTTCAGCAACCACATGCGTTACTTAATTGTTTCCAGATCCTAAACCAAGATGATCTTTTTCAGGCTGTCATCCAGCCCAGTGCCTACCTAGTTCAGAGGGTTTTTTCCACTCTCTTCCTATTGACTTATCTCTTTTTTCTATATGTTATCCAGCTGTTGTACTGACATTTATTTCTTTTTGCTCAGCAACCTACCACTCTGGGGTCTTTCACACAACATCCCTAGTGACCACCCACAGAAATACTAATGGCTGAGTAAAACCTACATGATTGACCAGCAGTTCTGGAAAACACTCCCTGTAAACAAGAGCAACACTGCATGGGAAGTCCCCCCGAGGAATGCCCAGCAGGAACATTGCAAAATATACAGAGAGAACAAAAATAAATACCCATAATCACTTGAAATATCTTTGGGGTTTTTTAATTAAACAAAAACACCCACAAGAAGCACAGTGATTTTTATGAGAACACTTAATTAACAAGATTCAAAAAATTAAGATCTTAAGAACTCATATGTTTTACCCCTATGACTGCTGTTTTTTTATTTATAGCACCTCAATGAAAGGACTCAACCATGTCGATACAGCTCTGTCATCTTTCTTTAGAAAGAGTAAATATATTCAAACAACAAAACTCTTCAGAAAGACAGCAAGAAATCATATAGTTGTAGTGAATATGATATTTAGAATACTTTAATTCGTCCCTTGAATTATGTTATAAAATGCATGTAAGGCTAAGTGTGTAATTACAGCGCAGTTAGTCGTATTATTCAGTAGTACAGATCAGCAAACCTCCAGTCACAGTAAGAATTTGTACTATCTACTCAACAACTAGATTTCATCCAGGAAAGCATTGGTACTCAAAGATAGATATAAGGTGGAGTCTATTTTGAACTTAAAATAAAATTATAGCATACATTATTGTAAATTATTAAATGTACTGTATATGTATAAAATATCTCTTCACTGAGGATTTATTTATTTGATCACTCTGCAGCACTGACCCCAAAGAAGCCATGTTTCAGCATGGCAGACTTACTGCAAAAATGTTGTTTCGTTGTGTCACCAGTACAGATGACTGGGCAATAGAAAGACAAACCAAGAGACATGGATACCTGTCTCACTTCTAAGGCTGTTACTACTCATTACGAGTCACAATTCTCTTAGGCTGAGACAACCACAAATAGCTGCACCATCCAGAAAACCAGTCTATCAGTGACACTCAGTTTATTCTGTGGCAACAGTAATTAAAATAGCACAACTTATTTTTTAGTGGTCTGGTAGGGCATGTACAATCAGTTAAGCTCCATGTCAGCTTAGTGGCAGCAAAACTCTCAGCTGAGGAGACAGGAACCACTGTAATTCAATCACTTGCAGCTCCATACATTCCAATAACCTGGCCAGCAGTCCGTGCTTCTCACCCACCTCTTGTTACACTGGCCAGCATACAATTTACATCTGGAACCATAGTTCTGAAGTTATAAATACACTTATTATAAAGCAGTGGCTTGATACTCAGAAATTCAGTCATCTCAATTTAATATCTAACTCTTTTCTGTCCAAAAGAGTAGAGTTAGTCAAGTTACTGAGGACAAAAAGGTCACACATTAACAGCTAGCATATGCTGCCTCAAGCAGTTCATGCCAGTCACACGTAGTAGTTTTATTCCCAGGAACAGCTGAGTATGCCAGGCGTGAGGCATCTGTCCTGCATTCTGTGCTTCATGACATGGGACTGGCCGAGAAACAATGTATGAAAGGACAGTACTCTACTGCTGTAAGAGAACTGGAGCTGATAAAATTTTTTTGAAAACCTAAAGGAAAAAAAATTAACATAGAAATATTATTTCTAAGAGAGACTGGGACAAAATTATACAGCCATGGGAAACATGACATATCTGCTCCTGGGGATACTGCAAAAGGCTTAAAATCAGTTGCACGTGATAGCTGAGTGGGACTAAGGTCATCTTAGATGGTGGTTGTTTACTGAATGCTAAAATTGCAGAAAGATAAGCCCTTTCATAATTCATCCTTATTATGTAAAATTAATTAAAAATAACAGAACTTAGAAAGCAGCCATACAGATTCCTTTTCCTTACAAAAAACTTGTAGTAAAAAAAAAAAAAAAAAAGGAATCCAGGGAAGTCCACTTTCATAATAGTTCAGTAGGTTAAAAAAAACAATAACAGAACAAAACACAAAACCTAACTTTTAACCTCTGAACTAACTTTTAGCCTACACATCTTTTTGTTTGTTTTCTACTCAGAAATACAGTTTCATGTATCATATCTGTGTTCCAGAGATACAGACAACTTTAACTGACCACCTTCCTGGTCTCTTGAGCTTTCTATAAATCTTAGGATCAGGGTTGAGAGGCAAGTACATGCAGAAGATACTTGAAAAAAAGTAAAGTTGTTAACTGTCATGCTAGATGCTTGCCAACACACATTACAGAAAATAAAAGTCGCTTAATAATGGCTTGCCTGATTTTAAAAAACGTATTGCCCTATAAGAATAACTGCAGAGAAGAGGATGGGGCAAGCATGAGAAAGTAAAATACCCACTGGTAGTGAGCTGAGTGCCTATCTTTGTCAGTTTTCCAGCAAACTAATATAAAGTTAAGTTACCACAATTTCATGTCAGATGATCTCAGTGAGAAACTTTTCCAACAAAAAATAAAGGTTACTCTCCTAACAACTAGAGTTTTAATGCTGATTGCTGCACATTCCTACTTCGATTATAACTTAGGACTAGTTCAAACCCTGTGGGAGCAGTACCCTCTGCAATACTCAGCTGACCCCTGCCCCTTCTCTGATGGCACAGAACATCTGGCAAACAGGGACACATCACAAAAGCTACTTTATTTTTCTGCATGTAGGTTCATTGTTGAAGCTGTAATGCCAAAGAAAATTGGATAGGGCACTCAGATGTCCAGAACCTATCTTGAAGAACAACAGAATAGATGAACCACTTCAATTTCTTTTCATGATTTTGGCATATTCCTGCTCTGGGAAATTTGGCAGTAAGGTTTCCATCTTACAGGCAGTGGAAACTAGTCAGATACTGCTACAAAAACATACAGATGTGATGGGGTGCCTGTTCTAAACTTTATTAATTTCAAGAGAAATCCTATGCTTCAGGGTAAAATACTGTTGTGCATGTGGATGATTTACATGTGCTCCTCATGGATGATGTTTTATGACAGTTTTCAGTCAATGTAGTTGCAATGTGAAAGGGCAGCCACTAACCCTCTCTAAAACAGCTTAGCTGGAAACGATTCCAAAGCTGCTGCTTCTACAACTCCATCCTTGGAGACACTCAAAAGCCATCTGGATGCAGTTCTGAGCAACTAGCTCTGACTGACCCTGTCTGAGGAGTGGGTTGGACAAGATGACCTCCAGAGGTTCCTGCCATCCTCAAATATTCTGTGATTTTTGCAGAACACAGGTCTCAAGGTACTCAACGTGCAGCAACCAGATAGAAAACCAGTAGTACTAGGCTACCTAAAATTTTTTTGTCTCCAAGGCAGGGAAAATGGTAGGGTAAGACTAGAACTACTGTTTGCATTGGTTTGTCTTCAGCTCAAATAGATCCAAACACAAGGAAATACCATAATATTAAGAGCTTTATTAAACAACAACAATTAAAATAGCCAACATATTTATCCTATGAAGACTGAGGATCTTGAATAGGTCCATTTGATATATCCAGGTCATTGCTACCTAAGTCAGAAAAATGAAAGGCAAAGCTCCTACAGACCGATATGCTCATCATATATTAAAGGACCCAGGAACAGTTCACTCAAACTGATAAAATGCAGAAGTCATTTACAGATCACGCTACACAGTATATTTGCCCAGACATGAAATGTCCCAATAAACAAAACCAAGACCTAGCACCAAAATAAGTGGTAGTACAGGTTCCACATTACATCCATTGCATAGCTGAAGTAATCTTTCAGAGTTCTGTTCTCACCAAGAGAAATCACATTATATTTATAAACACACACACACATATATCTTTTTCAGGCCCTTTCAAATTATCTGCAGTAAAATATAAAAATTAATTTGGATTGCAGTTTCTCTACAAATGTGTGTGTCTATAATAACTTTCATCATTAGATCTAAAGCATTCCCCCAAAGATTATAAATCTACTGAATCAAATGAGTAACTTCTTTTTTGTTGGGGAGTTGGGTATATGGACAGCTCTGAGGCGTTCACTGTACTTAAATCCAAATTAATTTAATCCAAAGATTAAATCTGTACATGCCAAAAGTGTAATTTTAGAAATACAGAAATTATTACTATGAAAAGGAGAGAGTCACACTAAAGACTACCTCCAAAACTGAAAAACATCTATTTATTGTTTCTTTCACTATATATAAGATAAGAACTTTTGCAACTTTTACTATCTTTATAAGGTAAATTCAATCATAAGTTAAATTTGTGCATCACACAGACCTCATTATACATTCAGGTCTTTTCTAATTCACCTTTAATGAACGACTAAGAGAGATTTTGCAACAAATAAGTGGCCATTGAATGTCTACTTGTCATGTACCACTGAAAAATTTGCTACTTTAGTAGCAATCAGATAGGTTGGTATTGTAGACAGGCAGAGAACTGTAGAAGCAACAGATAGACTGGCAGAGAAAAGGACAAAAAAATAAAACCTGAACAAGAAATTATGAAGGATTTGTAATGAAATGCCTATTTTCCATT